CCGAAACACTACAGTTTCAACTTTAAAATTGCCTGATTATATGAGAAAAAAACATTAAAAACATTTTCAAACACTTACTTTCTGATGCACTTGATACACTTCGATGCAAAAGTCTTGCCCTCAAAAGTCAAAAGTCTTATCAAGCCTCAATTTCAATATTCTCTTTTTATTAGAAGAAATTTTAGGCATCTTTTTATACCAAGAACATCAAAAACGCATGAAAATGTTTATCATTTTACATAAACGTCTAGCATACGATCCAAATAAATAGCATACGATTCCGAATAACCAAAGAAATCGATCAACTAATAACTTTGTTAGTTTTCAATATTTTTTTCTTTTCTTTTTATTAGAAGAAATTTTAGGCATCTTTTTATACCTTTTTGTTGTTAATGCTAAATAAATGTTGATTTTCAAAGTTCCTAAGGGTGGATAAAGAAATGTGAAACGGTCGGAGAATCTTCTTTCTTAGTTTTTTTTGTTGAGAAAATCCAGTAACCCAAAAACGGTGTTTTTAGGGTTTTACAATGTGGCCTTTCTATTGCAAAAGAAAATATTAGGTTGATGCATAAGTCTTTTCGTTTTTTTCGTACTTCTGTTAAAAAGTAACAAATTCACCAATTAATCTATAGTTTGCTCTATAAAAAAAGTGTTTTTTTGTTCAATTTGCATCTTTTTAAATGAATTTCGGTTCACTTTCAAGCAAATTCGAGAGTGAAAAACGCCTTTTTCGTAAAAATCTATAAAAAACTCTACGGAAAAATTGGCTGAATGAATTTCTCTGAAATTTTGGCGAAATATCAAACTTTTTTTTCTCTATCTTTTATCTATTGACACGAAGATAGGTTTTCTTTAGCTAAGGTGTCTAAACCGCATCATCGAGTTAGCCCTTTTTGACTACCCGACTTCATACTCTCAAGAAAATCCAGGCATTAAATATTTTTAAACCCGTTTTAATGTTATTTTGCAGAAAAATAATTGGTTTTTCTAATGAAATCAACCGTAGTTTAATTGGTGCATTTGTTGGCTTGAAACGGCAGACGAAAAGGAACAAAAACACTTATGCATCAACCTAATAGCTCGATATCTCCACCCATTCTCCATAAAACCTCTTTTTGGGGGTTGAATAAAGAAATATGAAACGGACTGTACCAAGAACATCAAAAACGCTCAAATAGGAAAAAAAAGTTTCTCTAATGTCGAAGTTGAGGACTTAAAATGGCAAAAACACCTTATTTCAAGTACAGTGCGTAACAAAATGATAGATCCACCATGTTTTTCGCCCCAGGAACTAGACATTTTGAATAAAAATTCAAGTTTTGACCAAAAACAAGTTCAAAATTTTGTTTTAAATCAATCAAACTGTTATTTCATCGCGAAGACATTGCGCTTATAGAAATGTTTCTATGCTTTTCGTCATTTTCTTTAATGTCGAAGTTGAGGACTTAAAAATGGCAAAAACACCTTATTTCAAGTATTTAGGTTTACTGTAATGAAAAACGAAAAATGAAAAATGAAAAAAGAAAAACCAAATTTCGAATTCCCCATCCCCCGAAAACCCTAAGTAAACAAATTTTCTGATGTTTTGGTCTAGATAATAGCGAGAGACGGTCATGAAATGAAAATTAACCGGTAAACACACCGGTAAACATGAAAATTTTCATCGTTTTATCATATTTTGTTTAAATGGATTGTAAAATGTTTTTCAGAATGTGAAAAATGCTAGCATTTTTTAGGTATTGGAATTGGAGAAAGAATTTCACTTCAACAAGTATCTTACTCGAAAGCGACGGATAGAAATCGCTCACTCGTTGATGCTCACCGAACGTCAGGTGAAAAAGACAATATTTTGTAAGATTTGTAAGATTTCTTACTAAACTTGTAACGAAAACATTGTCGTTTCTTGCTTGCCGTTGGATTTAAGGGAATTTAAAGATTTTCTTTTGTCTTTTTCTCAGCACCAACCCTTCGATTCTGGCTATTTTGACTATCATTCGATGCAGAAGAAAATCTCGTATCGAATGTTACCAAAATTTAACCCAAAATGAATATTACATTAACAAAAGAGCTGACAAATGTTTTCGTTAAAAGTCTATTTCTCTTTAATTTACGATTTCTCGGCTAACCATTTTGATAGATTGCTTTGCCAAACTTGTTAACCGCATTCCAATTTCAGGTGAAGATCTGGTTCCAGAATCGTCGTATGAAGCACAAAAGGAAAACAAGGTCAGTGTTGTCAAATAAAAGATCGAAACAATAAATTATGTTCTTAAGTTGAAACAAAAAAAAGCTCAATCAAGGCCGGGTGATCGATCTTAGCATAGGGTAATTTCAAGAGAAATTTCATGAGAAAGAGGGCGATGGCCTTTCTTTAAGCGATAGCCCTTCCATCTCTTTTCAAAAGAAAAAAAGAAAAAACCCCTTTTTCTTCCCCCATTTTTCATGTGTGTGCCCATATTTTTGACATGTGTATACATTAGATAGATTTCATTGCAACACCAAAAATTATATAAGGAAACATTGAATGAAAAACAATTGAATGAGTGTTTTCATTTGCCTTTAGGCCTTTTGTTTAGTTCCTATGGATGATTTGATTTTCGTTTTACCGTATTTCTTCGAATAGAAGACCGGGTAAAGAGTATCATCGCGTACTCCTGCGTAGCAGCCCTTTTTAAAATTTCTTTTCTGCATAAAAGCTTTCAATGAAGTGCTATAGGGCTGGAAAATGACTCAAAAATACCACATGAGCTAACAGATTTTTGAGCCATTTTTCAGCTCTATAGCACTTGATTGAAAGCTTTTATGCAGAAAAGAAATTTTAAAAAGGACTGCTACGCAGGAGTACGCGATCATACTCTTTACCCGGTCTTCTATTCGAAGAAATACGGTATTTAAAATATTTTTTTAACGTAAAACAGCGCATAGAAAAATGATTGATTTTTTCATGATTTTAGCTGAAAAAATTTCGCTAAATATAGGGGATATTTGAATTAGAAAAAGCAAAAGTTCAAATAAACAAGAAAAGCAAAAAAAAAAAAACTACGCGGGGCACTACGCAGGGCAAAAAACTATGCGGGACACTCGAAGCGTCATTGTTCTCAAACAAAAAAAGCAATAGAAATGGAAATGAAAATCTAGAAACTAGAAATAATGAAGTGTTTTTAAGGATAAGCCAACCCCTCACCAGATGATGGGTGCATTCGGCACAGGTCCTCTCCCATTCGCTCATCTCGGCGGTTTCCCCCGTTCTTTCCTTGCTCCATTCACATAGATTTCTCTTAAACCTCCTTTTTCACAAAACTCAGGCACTTTTTTTTGTGTGAGCTTTTCTTGTAAGTAGGCTTTCCGATCTTTTTCTGTATTTAAAAAGTAACTAAAAGTAACAAATCATTTCAACTAGCAACTCCGCATCAGATTAGCTTTATTTGGTGATTCTATTTTGATTGATTTTGATTGATTTTATTGATTTTATTGATTTTGATTGATTTTGATTGATTTTGATTAATTTTGATTGATTTTTGCTTTTTTTTTCTTTTGTAAATCATAGGCTTTCCCCTTTATTTTATCAATTTCTTTTTATTTTATCATTTATTTTTATCATTTTATTAATCCAAGGTATTCTATATGATTAAGACAAGGTGAAACAATTGTTTAGTATACAAGGTAGTCCTCGTTTGAGGTCAAAAACTTTAAAATAAAAATCAAAAAAACAAACAAGGTATAGTCGAATTGAGTAAACAAGGTAAAATTTTCGTTTACAGTGTCATTTTATCGTTTCTTTTCTATTTGTAAAGTTATTTGCAAAGTCTCGACGACTTTAGAACCACTGTAAAACCATTAATCTCCATAAATTTTAATATAATGTTATAAAAAATTTTGTCAGCTTGTGAGATTATGGCTTTACCTATTCCTTGAAAAACAAATAAACTAATTTTGAGTCATCCAGCCTCTTTACTCTCCTTTTTTTCACTAATTAACGTCTCCTTTTTTTGTGAGCATTTGTGATTGTTCAATTTATATGATTTTTTTTTCTCGTCTCTTGTCGTCAAACGTTAAAACCGATTTGGCTTCAAATTTTCTTGCCTAGCGATCTTTTTTCTATGGAAATTTGTTGTGTGCTAATGAAGAGGTTTCTCAAATGAAAATGCAATTACAGTACAAAAATGCTGAAGAGCTAATTTTAAGTTTAACTCTTTATACTAAAAGCTCTGGGAGCGAGCAAGATTCGAACCTGGGAACTGGGGAAGGCTCCAGTTGATTTCTAGTCAAGCGCCTTAACCACTCGGCCATCACTGCAAAGGGCTCGAGGGTTTTAAAAGGCCAGGGCAGCTGAACCTTACGGGTTAGTTGACCTTGATCTGCTCAATGTTTCTAAAGTGTTTAGAAACATTGTTGCCGTATAAAAAGTAGCTAAAGACGTGAACTATTCTAAATCATAACTATTCTCTCAAATCTTACAAAAAAACCTTTGGTAACCGTTCATGAAGAGAATCAATCAAGGAAACGGTGCCACTTTTTAAATAGACATTGAAACACACTTTTCACATGAACATTCACATTGGGATGTTCCATGATCGAACTCGCAATCTTTCCTCTTTTCAGAAAACGAAAAAGAGAAGCAGAAAGAGTGCTATCAGGCTGGCTGTCTTTCTCTCTCGCGTGGCAGCTCTCCTCGCAGATTTATGCTGCGACCAAAAGTGCGCCCAGCTCTCCCGAATACAATTTATGAGCCTCGAGGTTTTTCGCCTTGAAATAGTTTAAATATTGTTCCAGAGGGACCGCCGGGGTTTGCCTTTTCCATATAAGTATTGCAATATTCTGCAAAAAAAAAACGTTTATTAACGGAAAAATACTCGTTGTCATATAAGGAAAATCAGAATATAGAAACCCGTGATACAAAAAAAAGATCGTTTTTCAAAGTGGAATCAAAATTGAAAAGTGGATAAAATTGAGACCTAAAGAAAGTAGAGAAAAATGAAATGAAAGAATTTCAGGATTTAAACCCAAAACGGGATCACATGTTTTCCAGTTCGAGCAGTGAATTGATACTCCTCAAACCAATAGTAATGCCAAAGAATATAGCAAAAAAGATGATTTAAACCGGTGCCCGTTCCATAGTAGAGAATTAAAAGATTCAGACGGGGATTTATCGGATGCAAAATCGAGACAAGCAGCTTGTCGGCTGTTGCTGAAATACAGGTGTAACTCGGCATCGGAATTGTTAGTTGTAATGCTTTTTTTAAAATTCTATAATTGATTCAGATCATTTTATCTAAACAAAATGATCTGAATGACTTATAGAATAGAAAAACAGAAGCTCAAATAGCTTACCAATCGTTAAAATCACTAAACCGAAACAGTACGCGTTCTGCATGATCAACAATGGCCACAGGGAAAGCGGATGAGCGTTTCTAAATCGAAGATTTTTCGTCCTTACTTCTAGTTATTGTTAAAATTTCAATGGTTTTATTGTATGTTATGATTGTTATTTGATTGTTTGATTGTTTGATTGTTTCATTTTTTAATTGTTTCATTTTTTACCGAACACATAGGCAAACAAGAAGAGCAAGAAGGAGAGCGGCGGCTTGTCCGAGACACCATAAACACCGCATGTATCCACCATCAAGATAATTTGCAATACATTCTTGAACCTGAATTTTATATATAGAATTTAAAGATCTAGATAAAGATCTAGGTAAAGCTCTAGGTAAAGCTCTAGATAAAGATCTAGATAAAGCTCTAGATAAAGCTCTAGATAAAGCTCTAGATAAAGATCTAGATAAAGCTCTAGATAAAGATCTAGATAAAGCTCTAGATAAAGCTCTAGATAAAGCTCTAGATAAAGCTCTAGATAAAGATCTAGATAAAGCTCTAGAGAAAGCTCTAGATAAAGATCTAGGTAAAGCTCTAGATAAAGCTCTAGATAAAGCTCTAGATAAAGATCTATTATCCCCTTTTCAATACATAATACAAAATAGAAAATAGAATTCGGTCAACGTTCAAGAACGAAAGAAAATAATTTTGAACACTTTGAGCAAATCGTTGTTTGACTATTTTTTATTGCTATTTTCTATTTGATACTACAAATACCGTACAATAAGCTCAATTTTTACTTATTTTTCATCGAGCTTTCTAAAAATTGATTGACTCACTTGGATCAACTCGTGGAAAAGACCAAAATCGAAAATGATGATATCATAGCTGAGAAATGATGCGTTTGCCATTATTGTTTGATTGAAATTACAAGCGAAAATCTGTGAAAATTGTAATATTTCTTTACTGAAAATATTGTGTTTACTTTTCTAAAACTAGCTACAGAATAAATGTGTTGCGAGAAAGCAAAACAAGCAACCACAAATTGCAACGAGGCCAACGTGATCACGATCGATCGATTTCGCATCCAAAAACTGAAATCTCATCTAAAGCTAATTGATTTAAATGTTAATTAGTTTAAATTTGATAAAATTCTTTTAAATTTTAATTCATTACCCTAAAGTCTCGAGTATAAGTTCTGCCTTAATTTACATTTAAAGGGCTCTGATGGAAAATTTTCTTCTTTCTTTCATTTTTATTGTTATAAACTTTTATTATTGTTCTTAAAAAGCAAAAAAAAGTTATGCTGCAGCGGGCTTCGAACCCTCGACACACCGCACTGGAGACAGCCGTCAATTTGCATGCGAAAACCAAACAGAACTTATACTCGCGACTTTAGGGTACTTCTAGTTAAAATTTTGTTTCGTTTTACAGTGAGTGAAAATTAAACCCGAAAAGTTGCGAATACTCAACTAGTAATTATCAAACAGAAAACTCTTGGGTCTCGAGTATAAGGTCTCGAGTATAAGGTCTCGAGTATAAGGTCTCGAGTATAAGGTCTCGAGTATAAGGTCTCGAGTATAAGGTCTCGAGTATAAGGTCTCGAGTATAAGGTCTCGAGTATAAGGTCTCGAGTATAAGGTCTCGAGTATAAGGTCTCGAGTATAAGTTCTGCCTTAATTTACATTCGCTTTAATTGCTTTGAACTTCTTTTTGTTGGGTTTTTATACATTTTTATTGTTATATAAACTTTTATTATTGTTCTTGGAGCGCTGGGATACTACAGGGTGACAGCCTATCACCATTGCTATTTGTTATGTGCATGGATACATCCAGACGATAGTGTTGAAGAAGACGCTGGAAAGCATCTCTTTCGACCGTCGACGTGGACTTTGGCCGGATGAAGAGGCCAGGGAGGGATCCAGAAGACTGAGCACCGGAGAGGAGCAGGGCGGATGCGCCGAGCCACGCCAGAATAACAGCATAAAATTGCTATAACCCTCAATAAATTTACTTCTATTATTGTTCTTAAAAAGCAAAAAAGTTATGCTGCAGCGGGGTTCGAACCCTCGACACACCGCACCGGAGACAGCCGTCAATTTGCATGCGAAAACCAAACAGAACTTATACTCACGACTTTAGGGTAAATGAAAAAATGAAAAATCTATCTATCTATTTATCTATAGAATTTATACTGATGAGAATTTGTCTGACCCGCACAACCAGGTGAATTCATCCTCGACGCGCACTCCTCGACACATTGACCTCGCTGCAGTCGCTTCTAAAATCTCTCGTGAATAAAATTGAATAAAATTGAAATATTATTTGAAATTCTATAAGATTAGTATAGATTTTATTTTGAAAAATAAAAAAATTCTAACTTTATCGAAGGATCTATGGTAAATGACCAATTTCCGAAACGACAAGCCAAAGGAAACTTTTACGGAAATGTTTTTATTCCACGAAAGTCTATCTTTAAGAGTTTATCTTGAAATTGTCTTTAAAAAGCTAAAATTTCAAATGTCACACAGAGCTTAGCCACCTACGCATTCTATCAAGGAATCATTTCGAGAATTGCGAAAAAAAAAGAAAAGGAAACGGGGAAACATTTAAAATTCTAAAGATACCAAGCTTTTTCATAGTTTCTTATGTTTTTCTTTTTCTTTTTTTGGTTTCAAACTTATGTTCTCTTATATCATATCAAATATCATCGAATTACCGTATTTTCTCTAATACTAGTGCACCGCGGCGAGCCGAGTTGGTGACTATTTTACGATTTCCAAGCTTTTGCAGAAGCTCAACACTCTAGTCCCCCACAAGATCTCATCGTCAGCTCCATTTTCCGACCCCACATCGATAGGTTCTGATAAGCGGTTCTCGAAATTTCGAGCAATTTAGACGACGCTCAGGATGCACTACTATTAGAGAGAATATGGTAATCTTTATTTATAAAATGGGACTTATTATAACGATTTGTTAACGAAAATTTGAATAAGCCAATTGTCAATTTGCTTTGAAAGCTTTAAAGACCTAAATTCAGCTATAAGATAAAAAGATAAAGAAGATAAAGAAATTGCCGTATTTCCTCTAATAGTAGTGCACCCCGGCGAGCCGAGTTGGTCACTATTTTACGGTTTCCAAGTTCTCACAGAAGCTCAACACTCAAATCCCCCACTAGATCTCATCGTCAGCAACATTTTCCGACCCCACATCGATAGGTTCGGATAAGCGGTTCTCGAGATTTCGAGGAATTTAGGCGACGCTCAGCGTGCACTACTATTAGAGAAAATACGGTATATCTTCTTCTGATATCATATTAAAAATCATCTTAATTTGTCTTTTATATTTTCAAAAATACCGTTTTAATTTCAAAAAATGGCAATAATTTCTAGAAATACAAAGATTTTCGTTTTCTTCTCATCGGATTCTATTTCAATAATAGTGAAATATTATTGAAAGTGGAATGTAATGAAGTCTTTTGTTGCTTTCTTTTCCTTTTTTCTTAGCCTTTGTTTTCTGATTTTCAATCCCCTTTTTTTCTCATTCTATCACGTCAATGAAATGAAAAATGATTATGAAATTTGCCTTCCTTTTCGTGTTATGTGTATGAATTCATGTGTATTAATCTTAAATCTAGCGCACTTTATCTCAGCTTCTGAATAAAGTATCTATATATAAAGAATAGTGATTTGAATAAAAAGGTTTTCTTTTGAAAAACATTATATTTTTGTTTCTTAAAAGAATATAATATTTTTTTTCCTGTTGTTTCTTGTTGTTTTTTATAAGCATTAAAGAAATTTGCAATTAGTTCTAGATTGAAAAACAATTTTTGAAATGGATACGAAGGGGATGGGACAAATGCGACCTTTTTTTGCGCACCTGGACATTTGCGCACCTTTTTTTGCTGGAAAAGGCCTTAGGAAAGGTCGTAGAGCTTCAAAAATGTTTTCATAGAAGGGAATCGTATGCGTAAATTCCGAATTTCGACAAATCAGACCTCGCTGACACGTCAAATTTGGGCTAAAAGGCAAAAACTGCGGAAAAGCGTTAAGTTGCGTAGTTTTTGCCTTTTAGCCCAAATTTGACGTGTCAGCAAAGTCCGATTTGTCGAAATTCGGAATCTACGCATACGATTCCCTTCTATGAAAACATTTTTGAAGCTCTACGACCTTTCCTAAGGTCTTTTCCAGCAAAAAAAAAGGTGCGCAAATGTCCCACCCCCCAATGTAAAATCACAGTATTTTTGTCTTACACAGTAAAAACAAAAAACTATTCAGTATTCAGCTTATAAAACTGAATATCTTTAGCTAATTTTGAGAGAGAGTTTTATCGACTTATTGTTGAAGTGCAACAAGCTATTTACACTTGTAAATCTTTAAAAATCCTTCCAAAAATTGTTTCCAAAGTATAAAAAAGTATTCAGTTCAAAGAAAAACGAATTTTAGCTAGAAAAAGAAATGACTTTTGTGTGTGTGTGTGTGTGGGTGGATGAGGTATACGCAACTAATGAGCGCGTCAACTTCTAGAGCTCAAATTTTTCTTTCTCTATGATTTATCATCGTTTAGCTCAAAAATTTTCAAAAAAAAAAAGTAAATCATTGAAGAAAAGATCAGAAAAATTGGAAAGATTAGAAAATCGTGGTCCTAAATGATATTTTTAGATATTTGGATATACTTTTGGATGTTCTTAAGCCAACAATGAGTCCACTCAAAAATTTGCGCGCTTCACTCGTTCACAATTCACAATGCTTTATATTCTATTTGGGTTTTGGATTCAAAATCTTTCCAATGTTAGATAAAAAGTTCATAGCTTGTAAAGTAAAATAAGAAAAATAACTACCGTAAATAGTGTAATTGGACCCCACCCCCATAATGACGGTGCGGAGCGTTGCGTAGTCTAGCTTTGGACGCGTTTTTCTCGACACTGGTTTATGCTACAATGCGCGCTTAGGTATCAAAAAATAGCTGAAATCCAGGGCTATTTTTTGATACCAAAGACGCATTTTTTGAAAGTACGGGCGCTTTGAAAAAAATGAAATACTAAAAAACTTTTGCGACTACGCGACTGTAAGAGGGGGATGGGGTACTATTACAGTATTTACGGTAGATACAAAATGAATCCCTTAAACCTTATCTTTTACTATATAATTTCTTGATAAAGTCTTTAAAACAAAAGCTAAAAATTAACAAAACTTTTTTGTCAGATCAAGTGAACGATCGATGCCGGGAGCAGTGGATCCATTAAGAGCTGAACAAATTCTCGGACCTGCTTAAATATTTCTCAGAACAGATTTTGCGACTACGCGACTGTACGAGGGGGCTGGGGTATTATTACAGTATTTACGGTAGATTGTTTGAAAGATTTGTTAATTTTGAAACACATTAGATAGAAATTTGCAAGCACAATTTAAAACTGAAAACTTTAAATATGGCTTTAAATAAAAAAAAAAACAAACATAAATCAAAAAGCTTTAAATATATTTTCAAAATTTCACCTTTACTTCGATTTATCTGATGTTGAGTGTAGAGAATCGAGGTGGCCATCTATCGAATATCAAAAAAAAAATGCTCGTGAGAGCAAAAAAAAGAATAATCTTAAACTCGACGAAATAATATTTGAAAATGATTTGAAAACAAGATGGAAAAATAGAAATTTAGGCAAATTTTGCTAAAAATTCGTATTCAATGGGAAAGTTTTGAGTGATGGCGTCAAAGTAAAAGAAAAAGGAACGATGAAAAGGCGAAAGAAGAAAAGAAATGGATCAGTACGAGAAAAGGAAAGAATTTTTGTGTTCAGATTAAAGTTTATTCAATTAAAAACGTGAGAAAAACTTTAAAATCTGTTTACAATTTTCGAAATTTTCGATTAGCAGTGATGAAAAATTCTAGATTTTATATATATGTCGCAGCCGATTAAGGATTTCAGCCGAAGAAGTCTCAGACTTCTTCGGCTAGCCGATTAAGTCTCAAATTTTTTCGCTAGCGAAACCTTCTTCGGCTAGCCGATTAAGTCTCAGACTTCTTCGGCTAGCCGATTAAGTCTCAAACTTCTTCGGCTAGCCGATTAATTCTCAAACATGAAATCTTGAGTTATGTATTGACTCAAGTCAATACCACAAACTCAAGCTCTCAAAAAGGCGCTTAAAAGCTAAAAACGCTCTCTAAAAGGCGCTAAAAACTAAAAACTTGTAGTGCTATTCTCTCTTGAATTGAATCAAGAGGTGCTTTACAATCATGGGATCAAAGGCAATTTGGACAAACCTAAGAAAGTCGTCAAGAACGAGGAGCTCTTTGGCCGGTTAACGATCAACAGAAATTAGTGTAGCTTAAACAAAAAATGCACAGTAACAAAAAGAAAAAATAGGACTGAAATAAGGGGTTATGTTCGATTATAAACAGATTAGTGGTAAATAAGTTTTATCGATGATCCAACAAAGGGGCAAATTGACTTACAAAAACAAACAATTCTATTTCAAATAAATGACGAATCAGATAGAAAATGGCGAAAAGGGCCCTTTCATAGCCTTTGGTTACAGTATGATAAAATGCGCACTCTTTAGAATGCGTTTTTAGCTTTTAAGCGCCTTTTAGAGAGCTTGAGTTTGTGGTATTGACTGGAGTCAATACATAACTCAAGATTTCATGTTTGAGACTTAATCGGCTAGCCGAAGAATTCTGAGACTTAATCGGCTAGCCGAAGAAGGTTTCGCTAGCGAAAAAATTTGAGACTTAATCGGCTAGCCGAAGAAGTCTGAGACTTCTTCGGCTGAAATCCTTAATCGGCAATACGACATATATATGTCGTAGCCGTTTACGAAACTCAGCCGCTAACGAATGATTCGTTAGCGGCTAGCCGATTGATTCGTAGGCTTGGACTTAGTGCGAAGGCTAGCGGCTAGCGCCTCGCACTAAGTCTATTTGGGTTTGGGCTGAGCCCCCGTTTTCTGGATCTCAGCCAGTTCCCGGAGCTAAGGGACACCCGATTGCCCTTGGGCTTTGGAACTTAGGCTTAGGAATCACGTGTACTTTTTTTTGCTGTACTTCTAGAAATTTCCACAAATTTTGGAGAAAAGGAAAGAATTTTTGTGTTCAGATTAAAGTTTATCCAATTAAAAACATGAAAAAAACTTTAAAATCTGTTTACAATTTTCGAAATTTTCGATTAGCAGTGATTAGCAGTGCAGTGAATTCGAGATTTTAAGCAGAAATCAAAAAACTCAACTTGTAAATTCGCTCTTTTATCTTTTAAATCGAAGTTTACTCTAGCAAAAAAAGATTATTATTAAAGAAATTATTAAAAATTCTCTAGTTACTTTAAAAGAGAAATGTTTAGAATTAGAAAATGAGAGAAATCAGAAAATATTTCCTTTTCCGGATTTACTGATTCCACACGCGATCATTGAAAAAGTAATATTCATAAAAAATTTCTGCAAAAAAGACTTCATTGATAGTTAATTTTTTAAATTTCTATTTTTGAATGCTATTCTATTCTATTTCTAATTCTCAGATTTCTAATTCAATTAGAAATTCTATTTCTAATTCTCAAAATATTCTAAACTATACTAAAGTTTAAAATTACTAGAGTAAAATGAATTTGAAGTAAAATTAATAAAAGAATTTTGAATAATTAGCAAAGAAGAGAGCTCAGGTGTGAGCAAAGAAAATGAGGGTTTCTTTTAGTAAATCAAATTCTACCTCGATTAATCCCCCTCTCATCATTGCCATCAATAAAGATTTTATCTCAAAAGAAAGAAGGAATCAAATCCTTTGTTTATATCAAAGTTTAGATTTGAATTTTATATTTGAAATGAAAAGATCGTTGAAAAGAAGAGAAATCTGAAAAATGAGAATTTGAGAAAAATGAGAATTTCTGTTCGAAAAAATTTCATTCCACAATTCTTTAAGTGCACTAGAAAGATTGTGTTTATAACAAAAGTACATAAAAACTGTACATAAAGTACATAAAAACTGATACCGTATTTACTCTATTAGTGGGGTCCTCTCTAATAGTGGGGTCGTCTGGAGGGGGGTTGAAAAAATAGTGGGGTCCTCTCTAATATTGGTAACGAAAGTGATACATCAATTGTTGATCTCTTGGATTAGTTCTTTTACTGTTTGTTAATGTTTTGTTACGGTTAAAGCTAAATAAAATATGAAGCCAAACTTGTTTTGTCAAGAATTTCGGAGAAAAATTGATATCTTTTCAATTTAAAACTTTGGTTTTATGTTCTTTTAAATTTCTCTAATAGTGGGGTCGTCTGGAAGGGGATTGAAAAAATAGTGGGGGGACCCCACTAATAGAGTAAATACGGTA